AATATATTTACACTTGTCCTGTCTTACTGTGAAACAGAAAGTACCCTCAGTGAAAAGAACAGGCATGGATGGACTGGGTGCTGTGGTTTAGGACAACAACTTTTAGGAATACAGATTTTGGAGATGGGGCATTATCCTGGGAAATGAGGTCTGGTTTGGCACTGAGCAGAAGAGGAGAGCACTTTGTACCTTGGAACTAAGGCAAGGAAAAGGGAGAGAGGGACACAACAGAGGTGGTGACAAAAATGAAAACAACAGTACTTACTAGATTCCAAGCATATCTCCAAGAACTGTACAAGTGTCTCAGCGCTTCTCAGGACAAGCCCAGGAGACACTGACCTCACTCTGTGGATGCCAAGGCAGCCAGCTGCTAGGGGCGGTGCTGATGCATGGCCCGTGCTCTCAGCCAGGGCTCTGCTGCCTGAAGGTGTGTCCTCGGGAGGCCAGAGACAAGCAGAACCGACAGGAGACAAGGCCAAGGCAGCACCTGCGTCCACAGAATTAGTTTTAGTTAAATCACAGTCAAGAGGAGCCCAAGCAGATGTGAAAGCTATGTAACTAAACGGTGTCCCGGAGGGGATGCTGTTAAATAGAGAGGACATTAGGTGAAAAATAAAGAACTATGGATAAAAGGGAGACTTCTGGTAATCGTCATACATAGATTAGTTCATTAATTCTGATACATGTACCACACTCATGTACGATCATAATTTAAAAGAAAAAAACCTATGGAGAACATCTGATTTCTAATAGAGTTAGGAGACAAATTAATATATTAGTTGATTTCCAGTCAGTTTAACAATATTGTGGTGAACATGACCAAGGAAACCAAGTGCCTTGAGTTGTCCAAAGCCAGATATGTTGTACTAGAAGGGAACTTTATCCATACTATTTCCTCTGCTGAAACTTCTCTACATTTCTCTCCCTTTTGTTTATAAAGACATAAACACAGATATGAGTTGGGGTTAGCTGTGTTTCCCAGACTTCTCAAACTTTAGGCTCAAATGATCCTCCCACCTCAGAGTCCCCAAGTAGCTAAGACTACATGTGCCACCGTGCCTGGCTCTCAATCATCTTTTGCCGGTTTTTGTCAAATTGAGACCCTTGAGGCATGCGATGCACTAAACTATGTGTTTTTCTTGTTTAGTCCTAATCCTGTGGGACAGTCCTCATTCCATCCTATAAGGGTATAGGGTAAGTGCTAAGCCAGGACTGACACAGGGCAATCTGACCACACAGGCCATTCACAGTGGCCAGACTGCACCTGTTCCTTAGTGAATGCCAACCCTAGTTGAGAAATCAAACACATAAACACATGGGTGAATTAAAAAGATCACTTCATTTAAGGAGGACAAAGAAAGTAGCTGCCAAATTAGCCTGTCAAGTCATTATTTAACATGGCAGGGTATGCAGGAACCTGAACGAGCTCCAAATAGATGGAGGTTTAAGACAACATAAAAAAATAAATCACTTAAAAGAAAAGACAACATAAGCCGGGTGCCGTGGCCCATGCCTATAATCCCAGTGGCTTGGGAGGCTGAGACAGGAGGATCACGAGTTCAAAGCCAGCCTCACCCACTTTCTGAGGACCTAAGCATTTTAGTGAGACACTGTCTCTAAATAAAATACAAAAGGGGGGGGGGGGGCTGGGGATGTGGCTCAGTGTTTAAGCACCCCCCGGGATTAAATAACCAGTACCTCCCCCCCAAAAAAAAGACAGCATAAAAATGATTATTTTAAGTGCTAAAGTTGCCCCTATCATGGAGCCTGTTGAAAAAATATATTAGAATATAGATGATGAATAAGTTGAACTGGCTTCAGTTTTAAATTGAAGAAACTTGAAAGTAAGCTGATAGAAAAATTCTCAGTCCCAGGGGGGAAGCTTCAGCTTTTCTTATTATAAAAATAACGACTAATTTTAGAAAGCTTGGAAAGTGAGGATATAGCGTAAACCACTATCATCCCAACACACAAAGGCAGAGCCAAGATTTTTTATTTTTGCAGAACTGGGGATTGAACCCTGGCCCTCACACATGTGAGACAAGTGTCTGCCACTGAGCTGTGACCCCAGCCCAGTCATGTTTTAGGGAATAAAGACACAAAAATATCTTAATGCTGCAAATTTAATAAGGACATAAAAGCCAGAGTGTTGGAATAGGTCATTGAAATTTGGGGCCATAAAACTTAAATCACATGCTTTAAGATAAATCCATTTCTGCCCAGGAAATTCATTAATCATTGCAGGCTCTTAAAACCAGTCTGCTTGGGTTTGAATCTCAGCAACATCACTTATTAACCAAAGGACATTGGGCAAGTTTGTTAAGCTTTACCATGTCTTCATTTTCTAAATGTGAAATGAAAATAATACCAAATCAAATGGTGACTATGTAAAATGTGTAACACACTTGGAATATAGTTAATTCTTAGCTAATTATAGTCCTGTCTTTTCTAGACAGTATGTATATGCATTTTGCAAAACCATCTCACCAGTTTCCACGTGAACATTTTTCCTTGTTTGTGGGTGTCTGAGTCAGTCAAAGCATTATAACATTTGGGGTATTAGTTTATGTGGAGAGCAGGCATGCCTTGCTCTGAGTTACTCCACAAACACTAGTTTTCAGGCTGTTCCTAAGCCTGAGTTACTTCATTTTATAAAGCAGTAGTTTGCCATGAGTTACTCCATTTTGAGTCCAAGTGCCAAGGTAGAATGACCATACCCCTTGTTTGTACAACTAAACCACCACCACCTCCCCAGCACAACCATAAGGCACAAATTCATGACTTACTCCTGCCAACTTAAATTCAATCAGGAGCACCTGGACATATGGCCATCCCAAATTATAGCAGAAACACCAGACACAGGAGCTTATCAACCTCACCAGGTGCAACCCCCTAAAACCCATAAAAAGAGAACCCCCCTCAAACACTGGACATGTCACCTAGTTAACTCATAGTAAGTCTCCTCCAAGAAAATTGCCAGAGAGGAACCTCCAGTTCTGTCCCCTAGGCAACAGTTTCCCCTGCTCAGGACAATGATGCACAGCCCACTCTAAACTGATGCCTTGATCCGACACTAAAACTGCCATTCATGGAGCCCTCTGCCTTGATAACTCTGCAGAAACCCATGGTTTGCTAAAATCCCCATCTGACCACCTGCAGTGATTCTTTGACTCTGCATTTGTATCTGACCTCTGCTGTGCTCTTGGCACAGAATCCTATAGACCTGTGGCCACCTTTAACCTTAAGTCTTTCTGTGACCTGTATCTATCACTGTGTGAAGCATCATGCATGATTTGAGTATTACAGAGATTAGAAATTAAGATTGGAATGGGAAAACTTGTGATTGCCTGCCGTATGACTATCAAGTGACCCATGAGTATTCAATGACTTACAACCATTGACAGTGGTGTTAGTTTATAAATTTGTTATTCAATAAATTCCGACATTGTGGAAAGACACAAACATGCCTGGTCGGTTAATGGCATGGTTTTCCCATGATAGGCAAAGACATCTGATGCTAAGCATTTCCCCCTCTCAACTATTAAAAACTCTATGGGGAGGGGGGCAGACACAGTGGTGCATACCTGTAATCCCAGGAGTTTGGGAGGCTGCAGCAGGTGGTTCACAAATTCAGGCTAGCCTCAGCAACTTAGTGAGACTGTCTCAAAATGAAAAATAAAAAGGGCTGTGGATGCAGCTCAGTGGTACAGTACCCCTGGGCTCAATCCCCAATATGGGGTTGGGGGAGCTCTACAGAGACCCCTTCATCACCAAACACTAGTAACATCTCAGGGAATAATGGAGTAAGGGAATAAGCCAATTATAAACTGCTCTTTGACAAATCCAAGATGTCAAGTGTGTTTGTTGAAAAAGTCTTGAGCACAGAATCTCAGGAGGATCTGCCTTTACGTGGAATTCAAAGTAGAGGATACCGTATGTAGGGGTGAGAGCTCAGGAAAGATGACGGCAAGGTGGAACCTTCTAGAAGCCAGGTCCTTCTGAGCTGGCACACACCTGTAATCCTGGCATCTTGGGAGAGTGAAGTGGGAGGATTCCAAGTGTAAGGCCAGACTCAGCGATTCAGACTGTCTCAAAAAATAACAAGGGCTGGGGATGTAGCTCAGTGGTAAAGCGTTCCTGGGTTAAATTCCTGACACCAAAATAATAATCCACAACATGAAATAATGAAGATGTGGTAGAGGGCAATTGCTTTTCCTAAAGTTACTAAAGCTGAAAGAGGACACAGAGACTTCCAACTAGCATGGGAAGGGCAGTAAACTGCAGTGGAGAAACCTGGCCAGCATGACCTCAGCCAGGTGATGAAGGTCAGTACTAAGAGGGATTAAATCAGCTGACAGTATGAACCCTTTAGGATGAAATGATACTTTACCTCTGTGGTCTCCCACCCCGAAACTATAACCTTAGTCTAATTATCAGAAAAACAGACAAGCTCCAATCAAGGGGCATCCTATACACTACCTGACCAGTCCTCCTCAAATCTAAGTCTGAAACTGGCACAGTCCGAATAACCTAGTGAGATACGACACCTTAACATAATGCACCCGAGATGGGATCCTGGAACAGAAAAAGGATGTTCAGTATAAACCACAGAAATATGAACAAGCTGTAGTCTTGTCAATAACAGAGTAACAGTACTGGGGTTCATAAATTATAACCAATGTACCATACTAATAAAATATGAATACAGAAAAAAGGACAAGCCATTCATGAGAACTCTAGAATCTAATTTTTCTATGAATCCAAAATTGTCCCTAAAATGGTTCATTTAAGAAATCTCTAGTTTCCAGAGGGATGCATAGGAACATAAATGCATAGGAAAAAGTCTAAACACACTAAACCAGTAGTATTTTTATAGTAATTTTCTTATCTGTGTTGTACAACTTGTATTATAAGATATTCATATATTATTGTCAAAATAATTTGAGAGATATTGGGGGAGGAGGTGAAGTAAAGATAATGAGAACCAACTTAGGTTTATTTCTCATCAGCAGAAAAGTTTTATTTCTTTTAAGGACAAACAATTAAACCACATCCAAGGCCTTAACTTACAGACACAAACCAAAGTTGCCATTGAAAGCATTAAGCTATTAAGGAACAAGACACACAGTGGGGAGACGCTTCGCCTCTGAAGCTCACACCAACTTGGCTCAAGATCTCCGCTAGTGCTCGGGTGTGGTGGAGGGAGGAGCGAGCGTGTGGAAGGAGACAGCCGTGTTTCACAAGGACTGAAGCACTGAAGACTGCTTGGTAGGGAGGTATTTTCACGATGGATGGAGGAGGGGAGAACAGCCAGGTGCCTCCCACGGGGCACTAGGCTGCCTTGCAGAGGGCCACCGCAGAGAAGCGCACTTCTCCCTGCTCGCGCTCGGTGAACTCTCTGCAGACCTTGGCAGCGTCCTGGAGAGGAGGACAGACATTAATACTCCAGCAGAAACAGCCTGAAATGGAAGTCTCAAAAGGTGTACCTGTCAACTTGAAATCCCTCTCTAACCTTGAGAGTCAGGGCTTAAGGCAAGAGGAAAAAAAAAAAAAAAACACCAGGTGCAGGAAAGGCAGCTCCAACCCCTTTATCACTTGCACCAAGTGGCTCTGGGCTTCCCTAGCCTTGTGTCTGGTCTGGGTACAAAACTGATCCCTCAGTCTGGTGTTATGGCACAGTGGTAGAGCACTTGCCTAGCACAGGAGAGGCACTGGATTCAATCCTCAGCACCACATAAAGATAAATAAATAAAGCTATTGTGTCTGTCTACAACTAAGATAAATTTAAACAAAAATCCTGATCTTTCCTTTCCTTCCTAATGGTGCATTAAGAGAATAGTTGTTCTACCTCGAACTCCTGGAAAAGACATTTCTTTCACGTAAACATTTTATAAAACAGCCTTAAAGTTTACCTGGGGGTAATTCCAGTTACAGATAAAGTGATGAATTCTTAAGAGCTTTCTGGTGCTGTGAAACATGTTCCTATTTCTAATTACAAAGACCAGTAACTGAAAATTGATCCAAATGTAATTATTTGCCAAACTGTAGGGCTTATCTGTACAACTTGTAAAAAGTTTGGTGGAAAGATCATGCCAATAAGCCATTCAGAACCTTTAAGAAGAAAAAGAATCCTCAATGACAGAATATAAATGTAATTTCAGTTTCTGAAGTTTAGAAATCACTAACAAAGATGAGTTTAACCCTAAAAAAGCACTAACTACAACAGAGTACCAGAAATTGAACCCGGAGTGTTCTACCTCTGAGCTACATCCCCAGCCCTTCTATTTTATGTTTAATTTTGTTTCCGAGAGAGGATCTCACCAAGTTGCCAAGGCTGGACTTGAACTTGCAATTCTCCTGCCACAGCCTCCATATTAGCTGGGATTACAGGCGTGCACCACTATGTCAGCTGAGTTTGCATAGTTTCTCACCATTTTAACAATTAATATAGTGTGCAGTTAACGCAATCTAACGTATCTGTAACCTTATAGTACTGGCCTTACTTAGGGTGACAACTTTAACAAGATGCTGGTTTATATTCATTTACTATGAGATTCCAATTAATCAGTTTTTATTTATTTCAACAAGGTTTACCTTCCCTATAACTCATGTAAGAGCTATTCCACATAAGATACATTTTTATAGTATTAGTGTAAATCTAGAGGTGAATTAATATGAACCTTAAAAGCCTTATTAAAAGGACTACAGTCTTTCCCCTTTTTGTGTCACAGACCAAAAATTTTGCCTCTCACTCCCACCAAAAGTAAAGTCTGATTCTTATTAAAATCCTACCTGGGGGCTGAGGTTGTGGCTCAGCGGCAGAGCGCTCACCTAGCACAAGGGAGGCCCTGGGTTGATCCTTAGCACCACATAAAAATAAATAAAACAAGAGGTATTGTGTCCAACTACAACTAAAAAATAAATTTTTAAAAAAGATCCCATCAGGCTCTTCTAGATCTATTTCTCTTTCCACATTACCATTCCCATATACCAAGAATTGGCTTTAATTCATCTCAGGGATGTGCGTGTATGACAGTCTAAATAAAGTGACCCTTCTCCTTGAGTGGCATAATCTGGTCTACTAGCACCTTGAGGTTATCACTGAGGTTAATACACTGACCTTGGGCATTACTTAATTTCTCTGCTCTTGCTTCCTCATCTGCGAAATGGGAACAATGAGTCCTACCTTGTTGCGTCATTAATGAGACTTTGCAAATATATAAATCACTTAGGATAGCATCTAGCCCAGAAGTCAGCAAACTTCAGCTATGACACACATTCATTTAGATACTGTCTATGGGCTTCTCAGGAATTATAACAGCAGAATTGAATACTTGCTACACAGCCATATTCTACACAATGCCTAAAATATTTTTTAAAAAAATATTTTTAGTTGTAGATGGACACAGTACACTTATTTATTTTTATGTGGTGCTGAGAATTGAACCCAGTGTCTCACACATGCTAGGCAAGCGCTCTACCACTGAGCTACAACCCCAGACCAATTCCTAAAATATTTTCTATCTGACTCTGATTACAGAAGTTTGCTGACACCACCCCACCCCACCGTGACGGTGCACATGCCAAGGGCTCAAAGATGATTATTACTACTATAAATAAAGTTCTTATACCTTAATAGTATTATGTATTTTATCATAATTAAGCAATTTTCCTTTAAACAGCAAATTGATTCTATTCTAGAAACTCATTTTTTAGTTGAAAAGGCCTAGTAACTGCCTACTGACTCAAGGTTTCTACAGTCATTTCTACCAGGATTTCACAGGATCTTGGATCTTAAAGTTCTTATGAGTCATTTTTTCAATCTGCTTCTCTCCTTCTGTAACAGTGGAACACATGGGAATAAAAACCCTGAATTTACATACCCAGATTCCACAGTGCTCTACCTATAGGAGCAACCAGAACGCAGAAGTCTTAGATTAGTTAGGGCTTATATGAAGGATTCTGTTTAAAACACCTGCTATAAAATGAGGTAGGTACAACTACTGAGATGACCTTTAAACCCTGAAGATTGCTATTAACCAAGCAGCTGGTGCTGGCAGAAGGGGAAGAATGTCAGTACTTTAGACAGCATCAGCACCGGCTAGAGATGTAGCTGTGGTGTAGAGAGGCACTCTGAAGATTACCTGAAGCAGGGAGCCCTCAGAGCTGGTACCATGGTTCACTGGAAATGGCATTCGCCCATCTAGAACAAAGAAGCCAGGCACGTCAGCTTTCCCCACATGCTTTCTTGCAGAAGTGCCAACCTAGCCCAGGGGAAGTTTTGGATTCTTCTGCCACTCCCGGCAAAGAGAAGCTAGGTCGTGAAGTGAGAAGCTGCAGCTGCAAGGTATCCACCCCAGGCAATTCTAACCTACAATTAGCCCACCAAATCCTAAGTTTTCAATTCTTCAAATATTGCAACAAGACTGACACAGGTACACTAAAGTAGGCTGGAAATCATAATCCAGAATCCATGTATCCTTTATATATTTTTCATATACTTTTTTTTCAATGCTATAATCATTCATCTTATCATTTTCCTTAAAAGAATAGAAATCTCAAGACATTTTTTTTCAAAAGTTACCATAAGTGGTGTATTTAAGTTTTTTATAGGTCTCCCACATCTGGGATGATAGATCTTAATGGGTTAACCTGTTCAGAGATAACACAAACCCAATCCAGCTACCACTACTAGAGGGGAATGTGCCCCCATTGCTTGGAAAAGAACAGAGGTGCAATCTCTGAGGTCCAGGAAAGGGGGAGGCAAGAAGAGCCCTTTGAGATTTGTCTTTCAATGATTGCTAACTGCCTCCAAGTCTCCATTGCCCTTTTTAGTCTATAGTAGTGTTGCCATGTGAGAAAATACACCTGCAAGTCTTTCTCCATTCATAAAAAGGGAATAAGTCTAACAAGATGGAAATTCCTTTTTGTTACCATAAACCAGCTAATACAAATGGCTCCAACATATTCATACTACTTTTACATAAACAAGGTCACATTTAGGCATTGATCCTCTTCTAAAAGTATTCCTGGTCTGAAAATGATAATACTAGGGGTCGCCGTCAGGGAGGTGGAGAGTCTGCACACATATGCCTTGGACTGGTGCCGACCTGACCTGTCCTCCTCACTGGTTATAACTGAAGCCTTCCATTGGGTATGCCAGCTTCCTGAGAAGGGTGCTTGGGTTTGATAAAGGATTAAATGCCCCCATGAGAACATCTTTGGCTTCATAAACAACAATACACCAAGAGCCATAAAGTCATACATCAATACTGTTAGAGAAATTAAGTCTGAAAGAATACATGAAACTACAGTGGCTTCTCCAAAATGGACTGACACGTACCAAGTTCATAGAGGTGGCCATCCACGTTGTTGAACAGAATAAAATGAAAATTCACTTTATCATCTACCTGCAGAGAGTCAAGAATTTTTTTTTTTAAATGAGTGTAAGATGAACTTGTTGAAAATAAATGCTCTTACAATTCAAGTGGAACATATTTGAACCAGCTTGTCGACGTATTTTTAAATCATGAAGCTGGTATTCACATATTTCCTACATAAAAGGCCCTATTCTAAGCCAGTTAAGGTAGAAATATTGGAATTGTTATGACAGCTCTGAAGGTGCTACTATCACATGCTTTTTACTGAGAAGGAAACTTGGGCTTAAGTAGAGTAAGTATCTCACTCAAAGTCAAATCTAGAAAGTGGCAGAGCAAACAAAACATCAGCAATTGACTTCGATGTTCTGTTCCCATTATGGCAAATTTAGACCTTCTAGAACTAGTCAGGCTTGTTGGTATACCTTACTCTCCCCAGCAGTCTGAGAAGATGCTTGAGATGCTCAATTACTAGGAGAGGTGTTACTCTGCAAGATTCATTTAAATCTAGACATAATATATACTACTATCATCTGAAGCATACAAGACAATTTCAACTGCCAATTAAATTTCTGAAGAGCCATTTTTGTGAACAGATCCAATCACAGCATTATTTGGGTAGAATTTTCTGCTGAATTGACCTTGGGTGGTGGATAACACTGGTCATTTACTATATTCTCGAAAAAGATTCCTACAAATACTCCCATGGAAACACAGACAGCACCTGGGCAACCTGGCTCGGATTTGTATTTGCATTTACCCGACATTGGCCTTCCTGCGCCACAGCATCATGGGCTGCTTGAATGGCCTGCAGAAGAGAGAAAAGAAATAGCACAAAACTCTCCAGAATTATTTAAAAGCAATGCTTCAGGAAATTTTTTTTGTACCTCATTCTTTTCAAAGCATTTTGCTCTGTCTTCAGGGGACATCTTCTCCGTTTCAGAAAGAAACTGTTTCAGGACTGATCCATCCTCTTTAAAAAAGAAAATGCATGCATTAGCATAGAAAAAATAATGCAAGCGAGCGCATTTATGATAACATTTATTGCCAACATAAGCCTTTACATAGCCAGTCCCATAGAAACGACCTGAATCATCTTCTTTTGGGGGGGTGGGGCACTGGGGATTGAACCCAAAGGCACTCTATCACTGAGCTACACCCCCAGCCCTTTTGTCTGGTCATAGGATGTCACTGAAGTCCTAAGGCTGGCTTCAAACTTGCTATCTTTCTGCCTAAGGCTCCTAAGCAGCTGGGATTAGAGGCAAGTGCTACCACACCCAGTATCACCTGAGTCTTTAATATGGCCTCTTATCACATTACAGTACTTATTCATTTGGAACATTTGAGAGATTTCAGTGCCATAAATGGGCTGCCTTGTCTACTGCTGTATCTATACACCTAATCTATAATTAACATCTATTACTTATATGACACTATAACAGCACAATCTAATAATTGCCAAACCAAGATTTTTATTTTAGGATAGACAACTCCATCATAATAATTCAATTATCCAGATAGACGTTAATATAAAGATCTTAGAGGGCTGGAGATGTAGCTCAGTGGTGGAGTGCTTCCCTTGCATGTGTGAAGCCCTAGGCTCCATCCCCAGCACTGTACATACAAATGATCTTAGAAATCTGAAGACCTCACACAGTCTGGCTTAGAGACAACTGACTAGCGGGCTCTTGGTATACGAACTGTGTTACTGCTCAGTGTGGATAAGCCTAGGAGACTGATCACATAGCTACTGAACTTTCATATCTAAATAAAACAAATTTGTTTAATTGAAACCATATCAAAATCTGCAGGGGCTAAGGGTAGATACATATAGCTCAGTAGTGGAGCACTTGCCTATCATGTGCAAGACCCTGGGTTCAATCTCCAGCACTGAAAAAAAAAAAAAATACTCATCTCTATGAGAAGGGCTATGAGACAAATTAACTCCTGACTTCAGTATCATGTGGTTACAAAAATCACATCTCTTGAGTTCAGGAACACAAGACTCTAAATTTTGGGATATTTTAGAATAAAAGGATCAAGCTACAACTTTTTAAATAAAGTGTAATCAAGTCAATATTTGAAAAGGCACCTTCCAGAAGATCTGGAAAAGCTATCTTAATTTCAGAAGTATATCAAGAGTAGAGTCTTGGCCCACATTTCCTTTATTAAAAATGAATTAAGGGCTAAGGTTGTGGCTCAGTGGTAGAGTGATTGCTTAGCATGCATGAGGCACTGGGTTTGATCCTCAGCACCACATTAAAAAAAAAATTAAATAAGCAAAATAAAGGTATTGTGTCCATCTACAACTAAAAATAATTTTTTTAAAAAATCAATTAAGCCTGGTATGGTGGCTCATGCCTGTAACCCCAGCTTCTAAGGACATTGAGGCAGGAGGATTCCAAATTTGAGGGCAATCTGGGCAACTCGGACCCTGTCTCAAAATAAAAAACAAAATGGGCTGGGGATGTAGCTCAGTGGTAGAGATTTCCTGGGTTCAATACCCAGAATCACAAATAATAACAATTAAAATATACATATATATGTTGTAGTACTGGGGATCAAATCCAGGGCCTTGTGCATACATAGACAGTGCTCTACCACTGAGCTATACCCCCAGTCCAAACAATTTTTTTAAAGTTATGTTGCCCAGACTGGCCTCAAACTCCTGGGTTCAAATCCTTCTGCCTCAGACTCCTGGTACCTGGGATTACAGGTATGCACTTCCATCCAGCTCTGTATTTGAATTGCAAAAAGCAGCAGCATTAACTATTAATTGAAATTACTCAATTCCTAGCTGCTCCTGGCCATTATCTAAATTGAGTCAAACTGTCACCTATTTTTGTAAATGAGATTTTGGAACACAGTCACACCCACTGATTTATATCTAATCTATGTGGCCATCAAAACCTAAACAAATTTATTCTATCTAAATTGAGTCAAACTGTCACCTATTTTTGTAAATGAAATTTTGGAACACAGCCACACCCACTGATTTATATCTAATCTATGTGGCCATCAAAACCTAAACAAATTTATTCTGTCCTAAATCACACAGAATGCCCATGTTATTTTAACCCTCCCACCCCCAATTCCTTGAACTTCTGAGAAACTCAAGGGCTCAGACTCACTTCTATCCTCCATAGCATTCACTGCAGGTGGCTAAAGCCCTTGACCTGACTTTGCTCATACCTGCACCCAAGGTTTTTACCTGCTGCTCCACCTCCCTCAGGAGCATTCCTCCCTGAGGAACCTCACTACTCTGAGCTGGTTTGGTTCTCCAGTTGCTTATGAGACACTGAACCATTCAAGACAGGTCCTACGTGTTGATATTCTTCTCAGCATCATCCAATTCTCTAGAATTGTTGAGAACTGAATAGGAGAAGCATGTGAGAATCACTACACCAATCAGCCCTCAGTGTTTTTTTTCCTTTACCTCAGAACCACAAAAATGCTAGCAGACAAACCATCACCTCAGGTGGAGGCAACCTAATTACACTTCCTAGAAAATGAGCTTCCTCCCCTCAAAAGAAACAATAAGAATCCACTCATAGATGGTAGCTGTTTAACTAGCACCCCTGACTAAACAGGTTTTAAGACCATTTTAAGACAGTGATTTTGTTGGATCAGCCCAGGAGAATAAAATGGGTCAGTTAATTGTGCCTTCTGAACTCCATGTTTTGAGTTTAAATAGAGGGTGAGTGGCCACACGTACCAAATTCCAGCTTGTCTTGATTATTAGCCACTGCATGTATCAGTCCGATTGTACCACAGGAGTTCCCGATGGTCTGTTTCATGAAGTACACTTTAGGGCTAACTTCTTGCCCCTTCAATTCTTCAATCTGTTTTTTCCTGAAGTTCTCATGCTGTGAATGGAAGCATTTTTTTACATATTAAAATGCAAACGCAAAAGAACAGATGGCAGCACAGTGAGTTCTGCTACATAAATGGAAACACAAGTGGGATGTGTGAGCAGGAGCCTTGGTTCTAGATCTGGCCACGCCCAGACGGTGGCCTGACTGCCTCCCATCCCACACAGGCCAGTGGGGCTCCAGGAGGTTCTCAGACTCCACCCTTATGCTGCAGTGCAGTCACTGTCTTGGATGTTGCCCAAGGCTCTGTCTAGACACCACTGCAACCTTTTAGCTTGAGATAGAGGGTACCATGAAGTCAGAACACAGGGATGTGTTTATTATTTTCTTTCTTTCACACTAACACCAGCTGTATTTCAGAGACATCCTAATTAAGATGATCAATTTAATTCCCAACAATAACACCAGCTAGTTTACATTACACTATTCTTTGACATTCTACTTCTATTCTGTCCAGGTAGATGTTTTCAAACACAAAACCATATACAAGCTTAACTGTTGAAAAGAACAATTGAAAGAAATGACCTATTTCTTTGCCCCCGTTTTTTAGAAAAGAGACAACTAACTGGACCAAGTGTTGAGCTGTGATTTTATAAAAACTTCTCACCATACAAGAGGAAGAAGTGATAGCAGGTTGTCCTTGCCAGTTTCACAGTTTAATCTGAGGACAGATTATCAATCTGGAGTAGAAGATAGGATCTAGTATATGAACGGGAGCATCTGCTAGCTTTTTGCATAGTAATTCAATAAGACTGTCTAGATCTTTCCCAAATGAGTTCTAAAGACCTTAAAAGTTATGACTTCTGTTAACAGCAGGGTATTAACGCTATGAAACACTAATTTTCCATAACCAGCAAAATTCAGACAGAACACAAGAAACGTTTCCAACTCTATGTCTTGCATTACTGTACATGGAAATGAAGTTTGAGCTTGACCCCAACTAGTAGGAAGTTCTTGCTTTCTAGCTACCAGATCCTTGAACTGTTACTCAGACTGTTTAAGATTTTCACCCCTCTAGACCAATTAGATAAAATTTCAAAATAGGACAACCATAGCAGCATTAGGGTCATTTAAGCTGTTGTATGAAGATACTTCTGCAAATATTTCACCACCACTTAAAATTAATGTTTTAGAAGAAGTCCATTTAGGATTTCACAATATTACCTTAGTTAAAAGTAGATGCTTTCTGATTTAGCATTGGTTTGTTCATAGACTCAACCCATAAGCCTGACTTTTTGTTAAATTTGCTTCAGTGTTTTTTGCTCAGTGGGAATTCTGTGTAGAATAGGTGATTGGTAAATTTGACAGATTGAAGAACAAAACACAGCCTTTCAAACTAGAATGTTCCTTAAAAAGATCCACTGGAGCCAGCAAAAGGAGACCTGGGAGCTTCAGAAGGCAAGCATGCTGCACCACTGCCTCCCAGAGGCCTTGACCGAGTGCTGCTCAAAACCCCGAGTCATCATGGTTCCTCTAATGGAAAACTCAGATGCTCAAGTAGGAGCTAGATATTATTTTGTATGTGGTCAAGGAAGCCAATTTGAGTAGCAATGATTTGAAATTTTACCCAAGTAAAGACTTCGGCTAGAAAAACATGCCAGTGAGATTATCCTTACAGCCACAATAATTTTTTTTTTTAAATAATATTTAGCCCATGTACTAAGAGGAAGGTCTGGAATTTCCACATGGACTTTTGTTTAGGCCAAGGATGCTTCTAGTTATACCTAGTGTAAGGATGATGCTTCATTTAACTTTACTGTTTGGAATGGTGTCCCAAATGCAGTCATGTGACAGCAATAGGAACTAGACAACATACTAATTACCAGGCTTCCCTACATTGCAAGACAACAAATATCCCAATTATGATTTTTTATCTGATGCTCAATCTCTGAGGTACATATATCCTCACTCCACTGTAGGAGAAAGACCACTTAAAGAAAATAAAAATTACATTTAGCTACAAGGTCAGAGAGACCAGAGGGTAAAGAAAGGGGTAAAGAGGGTCCCAGCACAGGAACCACACAAGTGATTCCACTTCAAAAGGTGCACTCAAGAGCGTGTATGCTGTGGGGAGTGAAGGGGTGGGAAGAACCCCCCCAAGGCCTCCAGGAACGGAGGCAATCGAGGTGAGTTAAAGAAGCTTTTGTGTCCTTGTGATTTGGACAGGTCCATCCAAATTAGCTCTAGGTGGGAGTCAGAAGCAAATAATGAGCTGACAGGTTACAATCCTTAAAAGGGAAATTACCAACAGTCCCCCAAGTGGAAGACTCAGAAAAGCCTAAATTCAACTCATGCGTAGGATTTCCCTGGATAATTGGGATGGGAGATTGGGGATAATTGGGTTCCTTCTCTTCCCAATTTAAGGCAACTTTAGACACTACTACAAGATGCGCCCCAGTGAATAGATATTACGGAAAGTGCAGATACTCCCTCCCACCCCCCGGGGAGAGGGTGCGACCTTTATCCCCAACAAAAGGAGCCAGTTAGTCAGGTCTGGAAGTCAGGCCAGGTGGGGAGCCCTCAATGCCAAGCTGGGGTTTGGAAGCACCGTGCACCGTCGAGGACCTGACCATCCCAGACCCCCCCTCCCTACCTGGGCAGTGAGAGGAAACAGCAGCAGCAGCGCGCAGGCAGGTGCTGGCACCGAGCCTAGAGCGTCCTCCTCCAACCCCAGTACGTCAGCGAAACGCCACTGGCCCGCGACCCCCAGCCGGGCCAGCACCTGCAGAGAAGAGATAAAGCGACCAGGCGCTCGGGGACCGACAAATCACCCGCACCTGCTAGGGGGCGGGGCCAGCACGCGCGAACCTCACACCCACGCCCGAGTCCAGGAGAAGGCCCCGCCCCGCCCCACCCAGCGCCAGTGCAATGACACAGCACAAAGCGCAGCCCACACGTGGCTCGGGCGAAGCCCGGGTACCAGAGTCTGCGCGGCCAGCGCCACGCCCTCATGAGCTCTTCCGAGCTCTTCCCAGCACTTGTTCCCATCTGGGCGCATCCTCCTCCCTCTCCCCCGAAGTGGTTTCGCAGAGTCACCCCACAAATGCAGGGGCAGAAAGCGCCCAGTATGCCCCAGCCCAGCCGCCTCAGGAGCGCGCAGGGCGCGGCTCGGTGGGCGCCTTCGTCTCCACGCTCTCGGGGGAGGGGGGCCAAGAAAGCACGAGACACACTCACTTTGTTCAGCATCTGAAAGGCAAATGCAAAGGAAAAAAAAATAAGTCAGCGATACCATTCCTTTGCCACCGCTGACCCTAAGCCCTCCGCTCCCCCGGGCAACGGTGCACTCGGCGCTCACCTCAGGGTTAATCTCCATCGGTTTGAGCTGCATCTTCGCTAACAGCGGAAAAAAGCACAACCCAGAGAAGAAAAACAGCGAGCGGAGCCGCCCAGGCTGCCTCTATAAAGCGCCGGCCTGACGCACTGTAGATGTCTGCGCAGGGGGAGCAGGGGCAAAACCAAGCGAGGGGGAAACGTCTAGTTGCAGGCAAATGGGAGCATACCCCCCCATGCGCAGAGCAGAGTGGTATAGTCGGGCCCCCAAACCTTGCAGTCTCACTCGCCAGTGAGCTAATCTAGTGGTTGTGAAGATGGATTTTGTTGGTGGGTGTTCCTTGAGTGTATGGAGCAGTCCTTTTAATGGAGTCTTGAAGTTTTGGCGAAATTTTTGGAAACCCATCTTCTCTACCATGCCAATCCCTCAAAAGCTCGGGGTCTCTGAAGCATTGAGAAAAAGCACAAATTCAACAGGTATATATTTAATATGAATATAAATGTATGTCCCCAAATCTCGCAGGAGTTTGCATTTAACCTCAGACAATCCATCCTCCATGTTAAATTTTACCAGTACCGAGGTTCGTTTTAAATTGATTGCCTAGAATTAAAAAAAAAAAAAAAAGGTATATAACAGATATTGCATTAGTAATGCTGATGTAATGTGACTCCCAGGGAAGAATTGGTTGATCATGGGGAAGCGGTAGAAACCCGGGGGATGTGGCGGTAATACAAGACACAGAGAAGGCAGGCAGTTGGAGACTTTAAGTAGCAGATCCAAGGAAGAGATAGGTATGCTTTTGAGACAAGAGGCTGCAAAAGGAACTGTTCACTCTTAGGAGAACAGGAGGCTTTGAAAAATAAAATTCTGAGTTCACAATACTCACGATGAGGAAGAAAGGGAATGGCAACTAAAGAAACCACTGTTTTCTAGTGATCTCAGGTGGGTTTTTTCTTTTTAATCAGCAAATGCAAAAGATGGAGGAAAAAAAACAATATGCTCAAGAATGAATAAAAAGAGGGACCCAAATCTGTAAGAATTTTGCCAGAAAACCTATATCACAGAATGAAGTGGGACTTGCAGAAATACTGGGGAAGCAAGAAGATTGGGTGTTTTAAAAAATATGCTCAGAACAAAATAATGATGATGGTGAAAGAATAGGCCTACTGCTTATGAGGTCCAAGGTTACCATGACAAGGAAGGGAGGGAATCTACAGTTTTTGAGTTATTTCCTCTTCAGTGGATCTTTTACATGTGTCATTTAGTGCTTAGAGGATCCAATGAGGACACTCCATAGTGCGATTTTACAAATCAGAATCTCTGGGCTTTGATTTGCTTAAGGTTTCAATTGAGAAATAAAGCCAGGAAATGTACCCTGGTAAATTCAGCTCTCAGATACCACAACATTCAACCTCTATTTTCTTTCCATTTTTACCATCAGAAAGATGATTTCCACACACACAATGAAAGAGAAGAAAAATCAGCAAGAAGTTAATGAGTGAATTTTATATGTAAATTATACCTCAGTTGTTAAGAAAACACAAGACAGGTGAATAGGTAGCACAAGAACACCTGGTTACTTCGAAGGAGTTCTTGCCTCTGACGCAAATTACATTCCCAATTCATTCAATCATTTAACAAATATCGATTTAGCATTTACTGTGTGCTGGGCATGGAACTTATAATTGGAGATACAAAGATGAACACAGAAAATAAATACAGAAACTTTCCTCATGCAGCTTTTATCAGCAATGAATCCCTGTGAAATGGAGCTGAGATCAGGAGTGCCTTACTTAGTGGAAGGTTTCAGAAAGGCTTCCTGAAGGAAGTGACCTTTAAGATAAGGGCTGATGGGGAGGCCAAAGTTAGCAATTGCTAATTTTTGCACTTTGTAAAAACACTCATGAAGACAGTATCAGAAATTTTTGTTGAAGGCATTCATTTATTCATTCAATATTGAGGGCCTATTATGTGACAGGAAACATCAGAGCAGTGAATCAAACAACTCACTCTTTACAAGGAGATGCCAAAGATTGGACACACACAAATCTTATCCTAATCTAAAAAAAAAAAAAAAAGAATGTAATTTGATCCTGCATCTGCAGACCAGAAGAGTTTATGACAGTCGTTAGCCAAATTCTGGGTCTCATGATTTGTGACTCAAGATAAAATAAGATGCAGGCATATAGAACAAGTCATGCACGCTGGCACTTATCTTTTCTTTGGGGATTACTAGCTGAGTTGACAAGCAGACACTGTCCTTACTGTATTTGTCATGCTTCCAGGGTTGGTGTAGGTTGGCAATGCAGTGAGGGTGGTTTCATAGCTTATTTATTTGATTCTCCTTGGAGGAAAAAATGATGTTTTGCTGAATGGAGTTATCACAACTGATAGCCACCCAACAGGGTTAATATTTTAACTCTATCCTGTGTCATTTTATTAGAGCAGAAAGAGAGAGAGAGAGTACATGCATGCAAGGGAAAATTAGCAATCTAAATGTCAGAATTATGAGATTTAGAAAAATGAGTTAAAAATAAAACGATGGAATTTAATAGAGATCTTGGTGAATATGCTAAAATATTTTTAAATGGGTTGTTGTATCTCAATAAAGCTGTTAAAATTTAATAGGGATATGTGTAGAGCTCTGTCAATTATAGTATGGTTGATCTTTATGTTAACTTTTTCCTTGATTCTATGGTTACTTACGTGTAATATGGACAAGTGTCAAGTAAAAACAAATCACACCATTTTTTTTACTATAATTATTTGAAATTAAATACACAAAGATCAGAAGCAAAAATTTTTTTTGAAAAATCAATTAAACATGTATTAATGAGGCTTAATACATGGTTTGTGAGAGATAGATAAGGAAAAGATTCAAATATTTTGGTGGTGTCATAATGGTAATATAAAGCTAATGCAATGTTTTTTTTCTATCAGAAGTGAGAAATTTGGGCTGGGGATGTAGCTCAGCGGCAGAGTGCTTGCCTAGCATGCATGAGGCACTGGGTTTGATCCTCAGCACCACATAAAAATAAACAAATAAAGTAAAAGCATTGTTTCTGTCCGTCTACAGTTACAAATAATTTTTTTTTAAAAAAAGAAGTGAGAAATTCAATTTAATTTTAATCATTATAGTTTCCTGGAGTGCCATGAGAAGGTTTCTGAGCCCCTCCCCCAAGAGGAAAAACGAAAAATGCTGTGATTGATTGGTGACGTCTGCCATGAGAAAGAAAAAATGGAAAGGATAATCAGATATTTGCTGTCTTTTGGCTAGTCTCATGTAAATACTCATGATCTAATCAAGGAAGGAAATTCCACCCCTGAATTAACTAGAGTATAGCTGGATTGTGAGGACCAGTATTTGGCATATAATAATCACTCAATACTTTTCAGCTAAAAATTCTAAAGAGTATGCTTCAAAAGAGACCCTGAGAGCTTACAGAGAGGGAAAGCCAAAATAACCAACAAGAATGGTTAATGAAATTAGGAATAAATGATGTGAAGAAGTGAAAGTTTTTGGTTTTTCGTTTTTGTTTACAAAGGGAAATCACATGATACGTATACTCAAAAATTCAAAGGTGGAGGGGAATAAGCTTTATGATTGCTTAAGAGTATAGGACAACAGAAGTCAGAGGAAAATCTTTGTTTATAGAAGAAAACCCTTATAATTGCAGCAGTTCAACCTTTTTGTGAATTCTCTGTATCAGTGAGCATGCTTTTAGCACTTACTGAGTACTTATGGAAGCCAAGCCCCAGTTCTATTAACTCTTTTAATCATAACACCCTTCAAAGTAGGTAGTTAATATTTCCTTTTAGAAATGAAGGTCAGAATAGTTAGTTACCTATATCATGAGAACTAAAATTTGACCACAGGCAGTCTGCACTATTGATCCCTATATTATCTTATACTATATCTGCAAAGGGCAAAATTCCCAAATAGAGTGGCTTACAGGGACATTTATGGTTTCACTTAACCAAATAATTGGAAATAGTTGGTGGTTCTAGGGTTGTTTCCAATAATCTTATCTAGGATTTGGTGTCTTTATGTCTTTCTAGTCCACTATCTTCATGGTGTTGAATGGTTATAAAAGGCCTGCAGAAGTTCTAAGAATCACTTCTCTGTCTCTCCCTCTCCTTCCTTCCCTCCCTCCCCCGCCTCTCTCTCTTGTATGATGGGCAAGTTTCTCCACAGCCCCACCCTCCTGAAAACTCTTTTCAGGTACCATAAACCTGGATTTAAGTCCATGACCAAAAGAGAGGCTGAGAAAGCAAATATGTAGTGTTTTCAGACCCTAAATCCTAAACAAGATTATAGTACAAACTCTTGCTAAGCAGCTGAACATGCATAAGGCTGTAATTTGAGGCTGAGGGATGAATTTTATGCTATTAAACATTTATGGGGTTCCATTTAAAATTATTATCTTTTAAGATAATTTGTAACATTTTTTTCACACTTTATTGAGATAAAAGTCAACTTACGAATTGACAAATGGGAGTGTATAATTCAGTGTTCTAGTAGAGTAACATTTAAAAAAAAATTTTATTCTTTTTAGATATCATGACAGTAAAGTATATTTTGACGTATTTATACAAACATATCTTATTCTAATTAGGATCCCAGTCTTGTGGTTGCACATGATGTGGAGATTCACTGTGGTGTCTTCATATGTGTGCATAGGAAAGTTGTGTCAGATTCATTCCACTGTCTTCCTATTCCTATTCCTATTCTATCCCCCTCCCTTCTTTTCATTTGCCTTTGTTTTATCCACTGAAATTCTATTCTTCCCCTCCCTACAAGAGTAACACATTTGTATGATCATGTCTCTTTTAAAATATTTCCATTACCCCAGAAAATTAGTTCCCTGTAGTGATCATATTAATTCTCCCTGACCATGAACATGGAATGTCTTCCATTTATTTAGCTCTTTCTTTCACTTTTATTCTTATTTATTTTTAAAATCAAAATGTAAAAACTATAAATATTTACCAGATACTGTGTGATGTTTTGATACAAGTATTCAATGTACAGTGTTCAAATCTGGGTAAAAATATCTACTCAAAACATTTATCATTTCTTTTTTGTAAAAACATTTCTTCAGGCGGGT